GAGGGAGGAGAGGGAGGAGAGGGAGGAGAGGGAGGAGAGGGAGGAGAGGGAGGAGAGGGAGGAGAAGATGTCTAGTCAGTGCTCACTCCTTGTCCGAAGCACCCCCCTCCTTCCTGCCCCCTGTGAGATTATGAGAGCAGAGTTTTAAATACCCACCCATCACCCCCAGCTCCTAATCCAGTGGGAGACATGGGCAGTGAGAGAGTAGGGTGCAGATGCTCTGGTCCTTTGAGGCCTGGACCTGAGGTGCCCAAGATCACAAGCTGAAAAATGAAAAGGAAGACAGTCTTCACTATTGGGATTATCTTTTGATCACTTGCAAATTATCTTCTTTTCCCTTCTCCCTTACTTTCACAAGTACCTCAAAGTGTCTTTCACTTTAAACAGTAAAGAATAATTCAAAGTGAGAAATTATAAAGTCATCAGATTCCAATTAACCTAACTACTGATTGCTTTCGGAGTCGGGAAGGTGAGGCATCAAGGTCAGGCACTTCTCTTTTTACTCGTTGTGTGACTTTGCAAAAGTTACTTGGCATCTCTTGGTTGCAATTCCCTAATCTGTAAGTAGAAATAATATATTATAATGTCGATGTAAGAATCAAGTGAACCTTTATGTAAAAGAGAGATTTGCAAACTAGAGTTCCATACAGATGTTTGTTACTCTAACTCCGCACAGATCTCCTCAAAGGTGGAGACCACGTTTTATTTAGTAACCACAGCATCTAGCACAGAGCCTAACCCAGGTCTGTCCTGCATGAAGGTCAGTGGGTTGGATTTTAAAAGAGCCACCTGTGTCAGGCAGAGTGCTGTCAAGAAAAAAGAAGTGGCCAGGTGTGGTGGCTCACGCCTGTAATCCCAGCACTTTGGGAGGCCAAGGCGGGTAGATCATCTGAAGTTAGGAGTTCGAGACCAGCCTGGCCAACATGGTGAGACCCCATCTCTACTAAAAATACAAAAATTAGCCGGGCATAGTGGTGGGCGCCTGTAATCCCAGCTACTCGGGAGGCTGAGGCAGGAGAATCATTTGAACCCAGGAGGTGGAGGTTGCGGTGAGGGAGATTGTGCCATTGCACTCAGGCGTGGGCGACAAGAATGAAACTCTGTCTCAAAAAAAGAGAGAAGCCATGCTGTTTTATGTAATTTTAACAGAGATATACAATATACGTATAAAATACATATGCAACAGCAATCAGGGAAACAGGTTCTGGAGTGCTGAAAAGGTGAGGCGAGAACATGCAGAAAGGAGAGTAACTGCAAGAGGCGGCTACCCGCCCTGGGTACAGAGGAGGAGGCTGGGTTATTAGGATCTGGAGCTGAAGGAGGCGCTGGACTGGGGCTGGTGCCTCTGAGGTTGGCCAGTGTGGGAGAAACTGGAAACCGGAACTTCTGTCTACTGGAATCTGCTTCTGGTTGCTGCCAAGGTGAATTAGTGTTGCTGTGGTGACAGTGACAGCAAGAGCAAGAAACATGGGAAAAGGCAAATCCTTCCCCGCTTCAGCCCATCAGTGTCCCTCTAGCATCCTTTATAGGCAAAGCCACCAGGGCTTCTGCTGGTGACAGAGAAATAGAGGGTACAGACCCCTGTCTCGGCATCAGGGTGGAGGATAGAGTGGGGGGATTCTGCTGAGAGCCAACAGCTTAAAAACTGCCACATCGCTATTTAATAAATGCAGAGGAGACTTGCCTATGGATGAAGATGGCAAGGGCTGCACTTCGAAGAACTCCCTTTTTACACTACCTTAGGGAGGAAATGGAAGTGTGACAATGTGGGTCACAGGGTTCTTGGTGCTTAGAACCCTGCCAGGCAACCCTACCTGCTTTCCAAAAGCAGCCTTGCCCTTCTTCGTTGTCCTTGCTGGCGGGGCACTCCTATTGCTGCGGCCAGCAGGAACTCCCATGTACACAGCCAGAGAATAATGTTATTCCACAGCCAGTATAGGGCCAAGCAGAGGAGCAGACTAGCCTTGGCTCCAGCGACACAACTCAGATGCTGGAGAGAAGATGCAGAGAGGGTCCCCTTGGACTAGGAAAAGTGAGAGTGGCCACAGATGCCCTGAGTGTCTTACAGCTATAGGAGGCAGGAGCAGCTGCTCTGGCACATTTGAGACAGTGTGTTCCTCTGTCATCCAGACTGGAGTGCAGTGGCCTGACTCAGTTCACTGAAACCTCTGCCTCCCAGGCTCAAGGGACCATCCCACCTCAGCCTCCTGAATAGGTAGGACTACAGGTGCATGATATCACACCTGGCTAATTTTTATATGTGTGTGTGTGTGTGTGTGTGTGCGTGTGTGTTTTGTTCTGTTTTGTTTTGTTTGAGACCAAGTCTTTCTTTGTTACCCAGGCTGGAGTGCAGTAGTGCGATCTCGTCTTGCTGTAACTTCTGCCTACAAGATTCAAGCGATTCTCCTGCCTCAGTCTCCTGAGTAGCTGGGATTACAGACACACACGACCACACCTGGCTAATTTTTGTAATTTTAGTAGAGATGGGGTTTCGCCATGTTGGCCAGGCTGGTTTCAAACTCCTGACCTCAGGTGATCCACCTGTCTCAGCCTCCCAAAGTTCTGGGATTACAGAAGTGCCCTGGCCTGCTCTGGCACATTCCGACTGATGATTTGACCTTGCTCCCTGGGACAAGCACCCAGTTAGCCTCTGTGGATCTTATGACAAGGAAAAATAGAGCACCTTTGGTGATTTCTTACACCCCTCCCAACCCCCTCCTCAGATACATTGATTATATTGAGACTGAGAGAAGACTTACCTGTTTGTACAGTTGATTGACTTTCTGGCTCAAATCTGAAAAGATTTTTCCTTTTTTTTTGAGACAGAGTCTCGCTCTGTTGCCAGGCTGGAGTACAGTGGCGTGATCTCAGCTCACTGCAACCTCTGCCTCCCAGGTTCAAGTAGTTCTCCTACCTCAGCCTCCTGAGTAGCTGGGACTATGGGCACGTGCCACAATGACCCGCTACCTTTTATATTTTTAGTAGAGATGGGGTTTCACCATGTTAGCCAGGATGGTCTCGATCTCTTGACCTTGTGATCCACCCGCCTTGGCCTCCCAAAGTTCTGGGATTCCAGGTGTGAGCCACCAGTCCTGGCCTGTGCTTTCCTTAAGTTAGAATCCAAACCAACTGATATGTCTTGCATGACTCTTGAGATCATATTGGAGAGTAATGGCCCATCCCTCTATCATGTTGCTGCAGACCACTAGATGAGACTGCCATGCAGCCCAGGAGAGGAGGATAGACTCCCTCTACTCCTTGAAGACTGATCATTTTGTGCTCCAGACCTTTTCCTCAGTCCCTATTCTTGCTGAAATGTAACCAACCTAATATCTCAGCTTATTAGGGCTCTGTTCTCTGTCTCCCAAGAGTTTGGTTAGTTATCTCAACAGGCAGGGATGGGAGGGGGTGTTGCCATTCAATGCACAACAAAAATTGGGAGTGGAGCATTCCTCCAGGCCACAGGCATAGCTTTGTGCTAAGTATTAGCACTAGAGCAAATTCCACCGAATTCTTTGGACCCACATGACAAGCCCAGCACCATGCCTCTTCCTGCAGTCCAGGCGGTGAGCGTTCATTGATAGGCATTGTGCCTTGGCAGCTGGCTGATGTAGCTCATGGAGAAACTCGCATCTATGGTCAATATCAATGACAGTTGATATTAACAAGAAATCAACATAAAATGGCTAGGACCAGCCATCTGCAGAAGCTAAGCACTTTGAACATACAGTAGTTGTTAACATGGTCCAGCCTCTCTGCCAAATAAAATCAGGAAACAAGAGGGCCTCTTGAGCTGATCAAGAGCCCAGAGAGGCTGGGCGCGGTGGCGCTTGCCTGTAGTCCCAGCTACTCAGGAGTCTGAGGTAGGAGAACTGAGGTTGAGGGAGGCTGAGGTGGGAGGATCTCTTGAATCCAGGAGTTCTGGGCTGCAGTGTGCTATGCCGATCGGGTGTCCGCAGTAAGTTCAGCATCAATATGGTGACCTCCCGGGAGTGGGGGACCACCAGGTTGCCTAAGGAGGGGTGAACCGGCCCAGGTCAGAAATGGAGCAGGTCAAAACTCCCGTGCTGATCAGTAGTGGGATCTCACCTGTGAATAGCTACTGCACTCCAGCCTGGGCAACATAGCAAGACCCCGTCACTAAAAAAAAATGATCCCAGAGAGCCGCCACAAGAATGTGGGCCAGTTTTGTCCTTAGGACTGGAAAATGTTTTTTTGAAGTGACCTATTTATCACATTGTGACTGACTGGCTGATACAAAGATGGTGCTGTGTATGGATTCTAGAACCTAGGGGAGGAAGCCACCAAGAGTAAATATTTGTTGGTGTTTATCCTGTGCTGCATCTACCATGTTTGATAGGTCACAGCATAAATAAAAGTCAACATTTACAAGACACTTACTATATGTGCCTGGCCAGAGCTAAGTTTTACATCCACTTACTCATTTAATCCTCACAAGGACACTATGAGATACATTTATCCCTCAGCCTCTTGTGAGTTTGATTATTGAGACTCAGACCCCCAAAGCCTGATATGCTCTGGAATATGATGATACTGAGTAGCTGACCTTGCAAAGCTAAGGGTTTGGAATTTGGTGACACGGCCAACATAGCTACCCTGATAGTGCCAAGCTGAAACAGATGGCTGGACTCGCTTAAACCATCTTGATTACAAGAGATCATCTGTTCTAGCCCTTGAGTGACCCAGGCAGCTTATCAAAGTGGTGTATTTATTGCAATATGCGAGACTTCAAATATGCAAAACCCAGAACCAAACAGAGACATGTGCCAGTCTTTGTGCAAACTCCAACAGTTTCCATCATACATGCTTTACTTTCAAGGACCTATAAATGGAAACAAACATGCATTCCACCAAAGACAGGTGGCATGTCTCAGACAGCCTGTAGAGAGACAAAGCAGGTATGGGGTGGGGAACGCACTGGCAAGGATTCTAGCTGCCCAAGAAAGGACAGGAAACTTCCCTCCCAAAAACGGCATCTTGATGAAGACTTGAAACGCCAGCCATTGACATAATAAGAGCTTTCCCATAAAGTGTAAATATCTACAAAAAGAGAATCACTCTGAGCCAATGACTCCGAGACAACTGCATGCCCTGTGTCTTATGAAACACCCCTCCTCTGCCCTCATGTAATCCAAAACAGCAGGGGCAGGAAAGGACTGGCAGGAGTCACTGCACCCAGATGAAAGAGCAGGCTAAGTGGCTCTGGTTTAGTAACTGGACCCATTATGATATAGCTCACAAAAGTAAAGCCAGGCCTACCAAGTTTCTTTGATAGCAAAATATTTCTACCCTCTTCTAGACACCAATACTGACATAAGAGGTGTATGTTTATAGTAACAAAAATAGAAAATATGGGTACTGAAGATAGTAGAAAACTTGCAAAACTGCTCATATATGTGATCTGAAAGACACTGAGATAGCCTTTCTATTCATTCATCTAAATGTGTACATATTGATGAAGGAATAGAAACCCCAGGATGCTGCATGAACACAGACTTCGATGAGGCGTGGATAAGAAGGGAAAGGATGTTTAACTATATTTTTGAGTACATATATTCATTTAATACATATGTTTTAAAAAGTATATATAAACATTCAAAAATGTATATATATTCAAAAAATGTGTGTGTGTGTGTATATATATATATATATATATATATATATTTTTTTTTTTTTTTTTGAGATGGGGTTTCACCCTTGTTGCCCAGGCTGGAATGAAATGGTGCAATCTCAACTCACCACAACCTCCACCTCCTGGCTTCAAGCAATTCTCCTGCCTCAGCCTCCAGAGTGGCTGGGATTACAGGTATGCACCACTACACCCAGCTAATTTTATATTTTCAGTAGAGACAGAGTTTCTCCATGTTGGTCAGGCTGGTCTCGAACTCCCGTCCTCAAGTGATGCCCTCACCTCAGCCTCCCAAAGTGCTGAGATTACAGCCATGAGTCATTGAGCCCAGCCAAAATATATTTTAAATAATCCTTTTCTTTCTTATCCATGTCTTCTTGAAGTTTAGCTGGATACAAAATCCCGGGGTCCCCATCCATTCAACCATTCACCACTAGCATGGTCCTAGGAGGACAAATTCTCCTTTTCCCTATCCCTCCACAATTAAATGAAAAAGATAAGATTGCACACAGTCAGGATAGTATTTGTGGTGTTTTAGCTGAAGGATGTGTGGAGTGGCACAAAAAGGCAACTATTTCCAAGACTGTATCTCCACACAGGAACAGCACAGTTCCAAGGACAATTCCAACTGTCTCTTTCAATCTAACCAAGCACAACGATCCCTCTGCACCCTAGTGTGATTGGAACATCTAATCCTTCGAGCTCTCTACGGTTGTGTGGACAGAGAACATTGATTAGCCTGAATAAATTAGCCAGAGTCATTCTTGTAATTTTTGTGATTTTCCCATTTCAATTATTGTAAGCAGCAGTTTCAGAAGAGTTGCAATGATAAATTGGATGGAAATGTGGATGTACCAGTGAAAGTAATTTGTAGGCAAAAACACGAGTTTTAAAAAATATTTTACATTCTTTAGATTTTTAACTGATTTTTAAAGAAATACAGCTCATTGCAGAAAATACGGCAAAGCGTAATAGAAAAAAATGAATCTCGGCCAGGTGCAGTGGTTCACGCCTGTAATCCCAGCGCTTTGGGAGGCCAAGGCAGGCAGATCATGAGGTCAGGAGTTCGAGACCAGTCTGGCCAACATGGTGAAACCCCATCTCTACTAAAAATACAAAAAAATTTAGCCAGGCATGGTGGCAGGTGCCTGTAATCCCAGCTACTCAGGAGGCTGAGGCAGGAGAATGGCTGGAACCCAGGAGGCAGAGTTTGCAGTGAGCTGAGATTGCACCAACCATTGCCCTCCAGCATGGGCCACAAGAGCAAGACTTCGTCTCAAAAAAAAGAAAAAGAAAAAGAAAAAAATGAATCACTAATAACCCACCTCCCACTTCTGGTA